CTGAGTGCTAACGCACTTCTTACAAGTCATTCATGATTCCCTCAAATTTAGAGCTCGTCACTGGTTTGACCTGAAAGACGACACACCTGAAAAACACTCTGCATTCAATTTAAAGCCAACGTATATTATCTCGTTAAGTAATTCTTCACTCATAACATTATTTGTGGATATTCACGTGACTGGTCATACTCTAAATGATTGGCCGGGATGTAAATTCGGTAGTTGAGACCTCGGGAATTTTTTGGATGACCTTTAACATAGTTTTATCCCATCAAAACGATATTTATGCCATCCCAACTGGAAATTGCTTACTTAATGAAACAGCAAAAAGGTGGATAAGTCAGAAAAGAGTTTCTAAAGAAGGCTTTTTTAATGAATAAATTGAAAAGGAAAAAAATAGGATGCCTATGGATTATCTGAGGTTGTCATCAAGCAAGTTTTGAAGTGATCCTAGTATCATAGTTCATAAAGAAAATACGATGCACTACTGAAATATCACTGACTTCAGTAAGACAATTTCTCCAAGTTTAAAAACTGGTTGAAATAGTAATAACTGTTAACTCAGTACAAAGATATTTTGTGAAAACTGAATTTATTTACTGTTTCTGTCTGAAATCGTTTGTTATAGTCTGTTTTGTCTATCCGGGAAATTATCTTGTAGGAATAAGGGAAACGCAAGTACTGCCTGACATAGTCGTGAGACAAACGGGTACTGTTCGGGGGACAGGAGGATGATACTTCAAATAAAAGACTGCTTCAAATTTGTACGTTTACCATATCTGTAGCAATTCAAAAGAAATTCACTAGGTATACCGAAACACTTACCGACGGGAAATGAATACTATGAGTTAATAGAACTCTCTAAAAAAGAAACTCGTTTGGCATATTGTTTTCCCTTTTATTAGTCTCCAGAGACAACATTGTTCCAAACATATCTGAAGAAAGCATGTTGATCTACCAAAAACTCTGTTGATACCCCAGTTAGGTGCTTGAAAAAATTACATTTTTGTGAAGTGCACAGTTTGCAAGTAACCCATATACTGTTCAGTTGTTTGAGTTAATTTCTAGTAAAGCTGTGGAATGCAGCCATCGGCTAAGAAATAAAAGAAGATTGTAAGGCCTGCATTTTTATCATCAATATTGAGTACAATATTCATGAATACTTTGGACATTCAAAGTATAAATAGTCACTAGTGTTAGGAAAATTAGATTTTTTCACAACGTAATCTATCAAGGGAAGTTAAATACGGATGTCACTACCGTTGATACTTCTACTGAGGACATTTTTGTTACCTTTGAATCATATTCTTAACACATATTGGAAATATTACGGAGATCATGTAACCATTTTATCAAGTTGTCCGTCCAAGATATTACTGAATGTTCATTCTACGTAATACCAGTAGTTCCTTCAAATTCTTAGTAGGAATCTTCCTCAGTTACTTTCACCTTACAATGTGACGACAAATAGCTTATAAAACTGCCTCAGTCCTTGAACAATAAACTTATGAAGTACAGAAAATGGTGATAGTGGATATCCCTGGTGGAAACCCCAATTCCTCATTACTTCAAACGACACACCTGCATGAGTTCGAGTAGAAAGTTTTGACCAGCATAATATACTTACTCAATAATCTCTTCTGATTAATCCACCCTCATCCACTTCTGAAGCCTGTCTACCAATCTAAGCTGTTTACGTTGTCTGGATAGGATTCTTGATAAAACAGGAATCAATGATTGGAGATTCTCAATGATATTACTCGAAACGCATTACAATAGAGCAGATGTATGCACTCTCTCAATGAACTTACTGATATTGACAAGCGAGAACTTAAACTTTTGAGAATACCCATAGGATTTGAACACCTAAACTTATATGGATTTCCCAAGAAGTATCCGATTGCGCCCAATACTGCCGGTGTGTTGTTCGCTAGTAAATAAATTAGCCAAATAGGTAGCAGAAGTGCTAGATAGTCACAAGCAAATTCAGTAAATTTTCCTTAAAAGACATAAATGAACTTACTGACTACCTGAATGACACTATAATATCAAAAATAAGGCAGGTTTTCCCTTTGGAGAAACCCTTTGTTCACTAGTTTGACTTTAACTAAGACTACTAATATTCCTTGTGACTACATATCCCTGAATAATCCCTCTTTCTCCACCCCTCTAACATATTCGAAACACGAGGTTCACTTCACTTTTGAAGGCAATCATTTTCGATAGGCCTATGGCGTCGCTATGGTTAGTCACCTAGGTCCTTTGTCAGCTGACTTTTATATGTTATATGTAGAAATCCTGGCTAGCACTGAAGACATCTTGGTCTCAAGCAATAGGCATTATGATCCAAAATGCCTATTGGAGACATTTGTCATCGTATAAAGCCATAAAGTAGAAAATGATAACCATAAGCATACTACTAACTAGAAGGGAAGATCAGTCAGTTGGCAGATCACCGTACAGGAAGTCTACTTGAACAGAACAGTACCTACGTTTTCACAGCTTTTACCCTATGCGGTACAAATGTGGTTTAGAAAAGTGTTTATTTAACAGGAACCAAAGTATCTGTATAATAAATATAGTAGAAGAAGAAATCTAATTTCTGAAGTTCACTAGTGAGTTCAAAGACGATTCACTATAGAGATTTTAGCATTTTCTCGTGAAATAAACGTGTACATGGCGCTGCCGTATGGGATGAAACCGAACAGTGTGTGTTTGAATCGAACGCTTATTTCAGTCATTAGAAAAACGTGTTATGCAGCTTAGCTTATCATCCTAAAGAAAAATAAACCTGTGTGCCAACATAAACTTCTTATCCCAAACGGCGATAGCTCTGATTCTAGAATAGCCTTTAACTATTATATTAGAGCTGTCAATACCGTGTACACTTAGGTTTTCTGAAGCCTTGGTTGTGCAAAGATTCCAATCCGACTTCTGCATTCAAAAGTAATTTTTCCCTTCGTCAAACCTTTCTTGGTAATCTTTATCTCATTAAAAAGTGTTGTGTCTAGTCATATCAAGATACTGAAGTGACTTTCAGCGAAAACGTCATCTCATAAGCGAAACTATATCACATCAGTCGAGTATGGAATTATATTCGAAGATAAGCTACACAGGTTTTACTCTTAGGGAATTTTTTCCGTCGGTTATTGTTAAGAAACACTAGATGCTTTCTGGCCACTGATTAATATGATGAGTTCTAGACACATAATATTAAAAGATGCAAAATGTTGATTGCATGCATTTTGGATAAAGCTTTATCAATGTATGTGGTATAACTGGACAGCTTGAAATCAGATGTTTGTATGGTATACTTTCAACCTATTCGCCCAGGCTAACAAGTCTTTCAACGATTCATGGTTTGTAACTGCCGGTTGTTGACCGATTTACTGAAAGCTACTACTAATAGACAACTTGAGTAGTTAGAAATTATTCAAGCTGATCTATAGTATTTCACCAGCCAGATTATAGTGATCTAAACACCGAACGGCAGTTTTGCTCGTTTGGGGACGAGTTCATCAGCGGTTTACCCGGAGCTGTATTTGGCTAGATGACCTGCATGAACCGACATACCTAAGATAGAATGATCAATTTCCAAATGATATACGGGTTGCACGGTCCATGTTGACATTTCTCATAGATAAGTAGTTTCTCAACTGCCCAACTGTGTTGTCAACAAACTTTCCACTGGGATTCTTTCAACCGAGATCACAAGATGTGACCACTGACATAAAAGTGTCATGAACTAGCGAAGACACTACTACTGAACAACTTGAGTAGTTAGAAACCACTCAGGCTGATCTGTAGTATTTTCTGCCAGCCTAAAGCTGATTTGTTGTAAGTAAGTGTGCAGAAAATCATTCATTAAGTAGGTTTTATCGTGGTAGTTCACCCAACCAGAACGAAAATTTGTAGGAAAGAATGAAGAACACCCCCAGCTTTACGAAATTTATTTTCGCTCAATAAAGTGGATGACAACTAATTCATGTATCCAAATCTTGACAGCAGTGCACAAAAGTCTGATAAATAAAACAACAACTTCTGTACATTATTTTGATGAAAGTAGGAGTGAATGATTGAATATATGGTCTACTTGCTAAATATGATGTTAGATAGTTAGACGGGAACAGATAGAAATCAGTGCCGGAGATGAGAACTAAGACGTTCAAACTGTCGATTTCTGTACTGAGTATGTGAGCTTATAATGAGTGCCTAACGAAGTACGGAATAAAAGACTGAAATACTTGCATCATTATTGATAAACTTATTTCGTCTCAGTAATTGGACACATACTTTTTTGAAGAAGCTGAAAAAAGTTTTGAAAGTCGTGGATTTTAGATTTCATGATTATGTTCATTGTTGAGAGTCAGTCGACAGGATATCTTGACCCACCCAGGCTTTATGCAAGCTGTGAGCTCTCATTCACGAACATCTGAAGCTGTAAGGAAACTAATGCTGCCTGTATGATCGGGATCTGCATCAAGCAGCACTGAAGTCAGGAGCTTCTCTATTAGGTTATCCAAGTCACCAATGAGCTCCTGTAGTACTTGGTCAAATACTCGAGTTGGTTATTAGGACGTATCTGATGTAGCTTTTTGATCCTTATCACTCAGTGTTAATCGAAGTTTATCATTCAAGTCTGCAATCAGGCCACTAAGCTAAGTCACATGACAGCATCGTGCACTGTGTCTTAGTGTTAGATCCAAGGAGTCAAACAACAGGATAATCTGTATGACGTAGGTTTGATGTTGATACTTTCACTATTACCATCAGTGATGGTATTATTTTAACTACCAATAATTAGGCAGATGCTGAATGAAAATGCATGTGATAGTATCTAAACCTAATCGAAATAATTCTGGCTAAATTTAGAAGTTCAGTATTATGGTATTAAGGCTCATATAAGAAGCTGTACTCTAATTATTTAGAAGTTTTAAATACGATCTAAACAAAGGTAAATGCCAACTGAAAATTCATTGTTCTTGTTTGGGCCCCTTTAGTGTGAAACCAAGGAATAAAACAAATTGGCTCCTGGACAAGTTTAGTACTTTCATCAAATTCTGCAGTGAAATTGAGATGCATCAACTAACTGGCTAAAGGACTGTGGACAACCAACACAACATAACATGACAACATGCTGAATGGTGTGGATGTTTAGCCACGTACCTTCAGCCAAGAAGATCTGTCAAAATTATAAAGGTCAGTATAAATGCCGAATATCACTAAAATAAAGGTTATTGATTTTGGAGATTTACTTACTGCTTCAGGTATACCGGCTGGTTGAAATGTAAAACAAACGAGTACTTTTCGAAGAGATACAATCAAGGCATGAAGTGATTACGTTAACAGATGAAAGTCAATTTTTTAAGGTGAATGAAACATCCAATCACAAAGTGGCTTTTGGCTACATGACATGAAGTTGTGCTTAAGTTATCAGGATTCATGAAAAGACATTAGTGAATAGTGTTGAACAGATGGATGGTCGAGAACCACTAAGTTGGTGAGGTGATATGCTCGGAAGCTTAACATATGTAAAAGCGGCGACTGAAGTATGTGTATTCAACAGTAAGACTCTTTTAAGAAACGGTTAGACGTAGTTAGTGAGTGATCTTCGAACAACGTAATTATGTTGTATTGTTTTGTTTCATAATGCTTAAATTTCAAACAACATATTTGTGCATATGGTTCTTAAATTGCGCTTTTGGGTATTATTTAGTCTTCAGTATATATCTGCACTGCAACGGGAAACTTGAAGAATAGACACCAGCTTATCCGTAAGTGATGAACAACACAGATGTTGAACGCCCAACACTAACCGAAGTCTATCGATGTTTTCGAAATAAGAGTGAATGAGTTAGGTGAAATAAACACTGCTGTGCACTGTATTTTGGTATCAGATATTTGGGGCAGATAAGTGGAAAGTTCTGCTTGGTCTTCGTTGTTTGCTTACTAAATTCGTTGAAAAGAGTCTCTTCGCTGAATATCTTGTTCTTATGTCACGATGGGAATTATTAAGTTTATAGCATTTGTCAACAATCCAAATCTGAAACCTTGAGAATATTCTCGTTGCTTTGAAGAGTTGAACCCACGTCAATAAACACTGAGTATTTCAGGTCGGCACTAACCCCCTGTAACATAAGAGTAAGACTTCAGCGCTATAGTGATTATGACACCGTTTTAGAACTGCGGCTCAATAGTTGAAAGAGACGAATTTTGACCAATGAATCGCGGGTTTAAGTCGCGTTCCACATGCCGAAGTTTAGGCTGCCAGGTGGTAATATCATTCGGTCGCACCTAGTTAACTAGTTCACCAGTTATTAGCCTGTCCTAAGCTCGGATAAACTGGGAAGGTTAGGTATACTGCCAACAACCCTAACCCCCAAAACCAATCCAATAACTAAACAAACTTCAAAGCACAAAGAAAATATGAGAAACAAAAATAAACTTATTCCTCGCTGGAATCAGAGAGACCGAATGACGTCGGTTGGTGAAAGCCTTCAGGAAGCCAATTGGCCGGTGTGTCCTCGCTTCTCTCGATGAAAGCGAAAGTAAGAATGGGGACAAAATAAAGTTGTTCAATCTTCCTTATTATCCTGAACCTAATAAATCTCTAATTATTCACAGATTTATGATAACTTGGTTGGTTGTGGCTAGCAGAAGAACCCAGGATGCGCGTTTCGTCCTATTTGGGACTCGTCAGCTGGATGTACCTGCACCCCAGTGAGTGATGTTGTTTCCGCTGAGATTCGAACCTCGTACGCATCGCTTCAAACGCCAAGGCGTTTTCCACTGTGATACGGAGGAACGATAGCCACTTCTTATACAACGGGTAGTAGCTATTACTATTGATTGACAGACTTGTTATTCTCCGTTGTTTTATTGGATGGAATTGTTCGACCTGGATTCTTCTGCTAGCCACAACTAACCAAATTATCATAATTAACATTCAGGTAATATCGAGGCATTCGCACAGGAGCCCATATGCCAACAGAGGTCGAACAATTCGATCTAAAAAAAACGGAGAATAACAAGTATATCAATAAATAGTGATATTCACAGTTTTTTTGTATTTTCTGATATATTTTAATAATTCAGTATCGTCCTCATTTTCTTTCCATTTCAGGCTTGATCATGCTTTATTTTGAATATATTATTTTTACATATTATTCAACTTTAAATTCTACCCGATTAATTATGTTCGTTTCTTTTTTTGTGACCACTTTTCACCTTGCATCACATATGTGAATTTTATTCTTCATTTGACTTGATGTTTGTTACTGGATTTAATTGAATAATTCTGGTAATTATCCAATGTAGGTCAACGAAAATGTATAAATTTTGATTGTACAGCTGTGGATAATGAAATCGCTGAAAAAGATATCTTCGCTGAGCTTCTTATTTCTCTAATGTCCTGGTGGTTATTTTCACCAGTTTTAAGAATACGTTTATGGATGTCTAGGACTTCGAACATATGCCTGGAAAGTAGTACCCAAAGACATTCGCAATGCACCTCTGTCCATCTTAGTAAAATAGACCATAACACAGATTAATGACGCTCAGGAAAATAGGAATTATATTGCTGAATGGGCCGATATTTTCTAGATGGTCACTACCGGTTAGGAATCACACTAAGTTACACCTGAAAATCAGTGGTGTTTGTAATATCAACAGCAGGATTCCAAGTATTGGTTTTCTGTGCTTCTATGCTCATTATGCATCATTCTGCCTCAAACTCATCAAGGATCAGACCAAAGTAATAACACCGAGTGCATGGGAGTTTTCAGATTTCAGTATGTAACAATTTCAAATCAAATCTTAGTTATCCAGTTCAGTATGGGAAGAAAGAGAGTTCTAGGGAAATAAATGTTAGAGGTGAAGAATGAGAAATGCTACTGAATGATTCTTTAGTAAGCTTACCAACATACCAAATATTTAAAGAAGGTAATCTTCTCAAAGGATTCACTCATAATCTGATGAATTGTCAATTTCTGCCGGCCTCTGAACTCACTTTGAAAAGCCATTGGGATGTAATAATTATTATCCCCATAGTGTGATAGCAAGTGTTCTGGTTACAACTCACTGCTTAGGAGAAAGACTAACAAGAAACCACATCATAAATAGTTTCACGGTAGTTCATGTTTACAAAGAAACCATAGCCATCATCTAGAAAAAGTGAAGTCAAAACCTCAGTACTGTAGAAACGTTTCCAAGGCAAAAGCTTACAAAGCAATGCATAAGATTTTGTAAAACTCTGGTTGTGTTTTACTACCTAAAACGTGACCATTTTTACACAGATCAATATGCATCGGTGCCAAACTAATCAGTACTTACCTATGTCTGTTATAGAAACATTGTTTTAGAGGAAAAAGTCAAGACATATATTTACGGATCGCTAAACTACGAACTCTGAGTATGTGGTAGTTGATCAGCATAAAGAAGACGTAAAATGACGAATCTCAACGGGTTGAGGCTTCTTCAGGTAGAAACAAAAACTTACACCCGCTGACGCCGTAGAACACTAGTTAGCCAATACCGAGATAATCTAAATGTTGTTTTTAATTTTAGACCTGAAAGTATTTACTCTTGTAAAGGTGGATTACAAGTTGAACAGTGATATAAATTAGCTGTTTTATCTGTACGCTTAGGTACGCATACAAGAGTTTGGCTGAAGATTCTGAAGAATGTTGGAAAATGTGAAGAATTTTTTGAAATAATAATCAGCTTGCATTTACTGAGATCCCATACATCAACTAAGTCTTTTATTTTTAGAAGTAAATTATGTAATAATTTATTCCACTCGGTCACGCTAGCAACGTCAGAAGTACTGTTTTCGGATTCTAAGTATGGATTAAGGTAATCCATACTTGATATTCACTGGGACTGGGACTTCGAAATGATATGGAGGACAAGTATTGTAACTCCTATCAAACAGTTCCAACAATCAATTCAGTCAAGATCAGCCACAGAGGATAAAATATGAATGACTCTAAAGTCCACCCAAGCAGCGACTGAAATATCCAATCACATTTCTTTATTTTGGATGAAAAGAGTGATTTTCATAAAACAAAAAAGTCTATGTAGTTATTTCATTTAATTTTTGGATGGTCTTTAGAGTCATTCTTTTAGAGTTACAGTTGCATCGGCCACACTCACTTGTTCTTAAGTGATAATCAATAGTATCAAAGTATTGGTCAGAGGCACAGAACAGTAAGAGCCAATGAGAAAACTCATGGACACAGCTTGACTAGACGTAAAATGATGCACGCATCAAATGCCTGTCTAGACAGGGACCACTCATCTTATAAATGGGGAGCTGATTCATGAAGACCTGAGGTGAAGTAGAAATCGTAGTTAGGGTGACAAAATAATCAGTGGGAGATCTCCAGTTCATGCTTTAACATCTAGCTCAAAGTGAATTGATGTCTGCAGTGAGCCGCTGCTACGACAGCCAAGAGAAAGTTCACCTTGTGTAATTATATTTACACTTAGAGAAACGTAGTTATCTTAGACACATTCACTTTGTAAAGTTGGTTATATAATGTGTAATTCGTTATTTGAAGTACCACAGATTCTGGCAGCTGATTCGGAAAAAGAAATAAATCCAAGTAGCACACAACCCTTCAGTTTCTACGCTTAAAACAGCCAAAAGTTGGTCAAAATGAAAAAGAGATTGGATTAGTGAAATACATAACCCAACCCTTTAGGAGTGTGTTACTTCAGCTCACTCGAATAACTAAATGACTAAATTTATCCTGAAATTTCTATGAAGACCCCGAGGAGGTCATTCAAAGGTGTACTCCAAAAAGGTCAGTTGTTTGACATTCTTTGGGGTGCAAATTTTGTTACTCAACATTAACACTGAGACTGTTTGTTTGTTCGCATAAGGACTGACTTACTTGTTTGGTTCTTTTTCATCTGGATATGTTTCGGCTTTGAATACGGTAGCTTTTAGAAGGCAGTAATTTACAAGTGATTTCATGAACAGCTAATGCTGTGGCCGCAATTTTAACCCGGGAAA